AATGAAGCCCTCCCTGGTTTTTTCTCCATTTCCATTTCCATCACTTCATCGTCAGTCAACAAACTTGAAATCGGCGGAGTAGAAGGACTACGAGTCCATGTGATCATCTCTGATGATATGAACTGTTAGTTAAGATTATTTTTAGTTTTATTGCAGTGTATGCCAAAATGGTATCAGCTACGTTAATAAATAAAGTATAGCGAAATGCTTTCGTACTTTTTCATTTACGCATACCGATTCTGCAAAAAAAGACCATGTATGCAACCGGCATTATATGCGTGTTTTCATATCATTCGTTGATTCTGTAATTATTATCGGACTCTTTCTGGTACTTTTGATTACTATTTAACACTTTCGGTGTCTTTGAGATTGCATGGGAGTGGTTTTTCACTTGACAACTCGATTTTAGTTAGAACCTATGACCATGAAATTTAAGGTTTTGGAGATACATCGGTCACTTCCGGTGGTACCCTGAAGCTTTCGGTTTCGAGGACTACGTGTCCGAATAGCTTTCGACGAGCCGAGACGATTTCATTCAGGACTTTTTGCGCTGAGACCAATATTTTCCGAGATATTGCCCAAAACAGTCATTTTTGGTCAAAAACTGCCGTTTTTCACCACAAAAATCGACGGGGCTTCACTTTAATCTTGTCGCACAGCCCAGGGACTTCGCGGTCATCTTCCCAGATACATTCCGCACCGAAACCGAGATAGCCGTCTCCTGGGCAACGCCTAGTCTGGTCCCCAGGGGTCCAAATGTGTCAATTTTGCCTTATAGACCCAACTTTGACCGTTCCCAGGGGGTTGAAGGGGTGCCGATGGGCCAAAATGGCCCCGGCAGCTGTTCTTAGGATATCTTCAAGTACTTGAAACGGAGTCGACTTTTTCGATCCCAGATTTTCACTCCACCTTAGTAGGCAGCATCTTGCCTGGTGTTCATGCGTGTACTGCGGGGTGGCCTACCCCGAGTCTCACAGGCGCGCCGAGCTCTCGTAGTTTACCGAATGATCGAAATTCTGAGAAACTGGCGTACCCCTTTATCGTCAATACTTTAATGCACCGTACGAAAAATTATTTTTTGACACTTTCCTATAGTCTTTAGCCATCTAAGACCACTCACGAAAAAAAAAGTGACCTAGCGCAATTAGGGTACAAGCTACAGGCTGTTGCTTCTGAGCAACAAAAACCGATACAGGTCCCGCGATTTGAGGTCTTTGTACCTGTATCGGCGTTTGTTGCTCCTGAGCAACAAATGTCCTCTGGCTCTCAGGTACAAAGACCTCAAATCGCGGGACCTGTATCGGTTTTTGTTGCTCTAGGGCAACGGCTGTTTATCCCGGCCTAGCGAACATGGGTTTCGTTGGACAAAATGTTTTACCTGCGGATCGTCATACCCTAGTAGTACCCTATACCAGCATAATTTTGTCGTTCTTGTGGTGAACTTGGTTTGGTTGTTATAGGCCGCTTAAAATGGCGATTTCATTTCGACTCCAGTCTATGTACTGTCGAGCCTGTACGGCAAACGCAATGAGTCCCACCGGTGTTCCCGGGGCCTAGAAGCATTGTTTAGATCCTAGGCTTTGAGTTGGCATTAAATTTTGCCGAATCGGCCCAAAGCCATAGCACCCAGAGCATCTAGAAGTCTTGTTGCTCAGGAGCAACAAAACCGATAAAGGGGTACTTTCAAGACTTAACCTAAACAGAACCTAAGCTGAACAAGGACTGCTTTCAGTGCGGTGTGTCGGCGTTGTTGGTTTACTCACATAGGGGGGTAAACGAACCCCAATACTAAGTAGACGCAGTGTTGGTACAGAAACGAGTAAAAAGCATATTAATTGCGCACCTGCTTGCTCGGAGTTTGCAGTTTTACCGTATTCCCCAGCTTGGTTCACCTGCTGTTTTTTTCCACTCCAGTTAATAGTCCGGTAATCCTTCCTTCAGGCGCGCCTCTCGCCTCTCCCTCTCCCGCCTCGCCGCTCCGCTTCCCTGCAGGCAAACTGCCCTCGCGACGGACAGACTGACAGAGAGCGCAAACACTCAGAGGCTTCCCCCTTCTCTCTTGCCATGCGCCCCCCATCCTGCTCCCCCTGTCACCCCCGCCCCGCCCCCCTTCTTCGCATTCGACCCTTCCGTTTCGATTATGCCCCGGCGATAAGGGTTAAACGTATTGCCATTGGCCTTCTCCCGACGTGATTTGATTTCTGCTTCTGCCGAGTAAAAAAACAAAAAAGAGGAAGCAGCAAGCCCCCGCCCGTCTTTTGTGCCGTGTTTACGGCCGTTCCTATGGAAGGCCTGGAGAGGTCCGAGCGTTTCCGCCGGCCGCCTCATTCTGATCCGCTATGCGCCGAGTCTCTTGCCATTTATTCGTTTGTCTCGGGTTTTTTTTTTTTCGGAAGTAGGCATCACGACTGGATGGCGTGTTCGGAATCGCTTCCGATCGGAATACCCGCGCGCGTTGAAAGATTTATGCTTTTTTGGGGTGAAGAGAGAGGGGCGAAGGCAAAAACATAGAGTCGATTAGATGGAACGGTGGGGGGAAGGTAGAGAGCGGGAGGGGAGCACCACCGTGGGGGTTGATAGATGGATGTGTGGATGCTGCGAGGAAAGGGGTGGAATTAGCACACAAGGAGTGGCACGGAATAAGTCGGCTCGTAACTCGCGTTAGTGTGTTCCGAAAACTTTCCCTTCCCGCATGCGGCCTGGCCCTTCTCTCCCACCTTTCACCCACCACCACCGCGCCCTCCGCCTGGGCTCATTACCAACCCGACGGGTTCAAAAGAACCGGGCGCGGGGTAGCGGCGGTGGTGAGCGGGCAACGAAGGTGGTGAGCGGGTAACGTCCCCAGCGGCGACGCGCCGCCATCGTACACCACGCTTGCCAAAATAACACACAGTGGACGTGGACAGTAAAAGGAAAGAAAGAAATACCGTAGTGATTTACGAAACCAGAGAATGGGTAATTGGCAGAGCGAATGGATGGTCGGGGTGGCCCGGGTGGGACTTCAAACACAAACAGCCGCCATCGGCGCCGGGTCGGGTGGGCCGGGGGACCCGGCTGAGGGCGCCAATGAGCTGGTTGCGTGTAGGGCCCAACGGGTAAGCCCCAGGGCCCGAGGGGCCGCCGTGAGCGCGGCTGGGAGCGCGGGGGGACGAAGAACGCCTCAACTTGACGGGGCTCCTCGCAGAGATACGCCGCACCGGGCCGGCTCGACCTGGGGCTTCCCCTAACCGGCCTACACGGACGGGAAGTTGGGGGAGGAGGCGGAGCAGGGCAGATCCTCAACAACGTCACTCCACGGCTCGGCTCGCCCCGTCACGTAAGAGTGGCCGTGACCGGCAGCAACGAGCATGCCCACCATCCCGCCACGAGCCAACCGTAGGCGAGGCCGTAGGTCACGAGCATCCACATCCCGTCACGAGGGCAACCGTATAGGTCACGAGCATCCCCATCCCGTCACGAAGGGCAACCGTATAGCTCACGAGCATCCCCATTCACGCCATGATAGGGCAACCGTAGGTCACGAGTATCCCCATCCCGTCACGAAGGGCAACCGTATAGCTCACGAGCATCCCCATTCACGCCACGATCGAGGGGGTTTTCACTCGAGATTTCCGTGCACACAGTATTTCGTAATACGTGTATTTCGTCGGTATTTCTCAGGAAAAGTTCACCGTTTTGGAGCATATTTAGGCGTATTTCGGTGTATTTCACGTGAAATACCTGTGAAATACCTAATTAGGTGTACACGGTATTTCAGAAGTGAAAACCCCCTCGGCCACGATAGGGCAACCATAGGTCACAAGCATCCCCATCCCTGCACGAGCATCCCCATCTACCCCCATCTGACGCCATTTTCTTTTCAAAACCAAACAGACTTCCGAAGGATCTCACCTGCGCACGTATCCCGGGAGAATCTGAGGATCCATCATCGTGGCAACCTGAAACAGAAAAGAAGAGACAACCGTAAGAAAACTTGCAATAAGGAAAATCTCCCGCCGGTCGTCCTCGTGCTCGCCAAGCGCGCGCAGCGCACGCGTGGGCTCAGCAGCAGCAGCAGCAGTACGTGGATTGGATAATACGCTCGCTAAATGCCCGCCAGAGACGAGTATGATAAATGGCCCAGTGAGATGGAGGCGCCTTGCGGGCAAACATGACTTGGTCCTGTATTTCACTTTGGCTGCGGTCCACGGCGCTCTGCCCCCTCCCTGGCCCCCATCCACGGTCCTCCGCCCCCCGTCACTACTCCTCTCGCTTACCATACAACCCCCTCTGCTTGTGTCCCGAGACCATAGCAGTGGTGGGTACATCACGACGTTAAAACCCTCCCCGGACCGAGGTGGTAAGAGCGTTGGGAGAGCGCAGCCCTTTGTGAGCGCCAACGACAATGACGCGACGCGCATGCACGGCAGCGGGCGAGTGTGCGGCGTGTGCGGGCACTTGTGTCGTCCCGGGGGAGCATCACAGCGCGTAGTTATATACCTTGTTCGCGAGGCGCAGATGCGCGGGGGGCGGAGGTCGTGCAGATGGGACGTGCCAGCAGCGGCGGCGCTTGCTATGGTGTGCCCCACGCCGCCCCACGCCCACCACCTCCCCCTCCAGGGCCGCGGGCGAGGGAAGCCCCGCGACGCAGCGAGGCGGCGGGCGCAAAGCGCATTGCAGGAAGCCCCGCGTGGCCAGGTGGCGCGAGAACCCCCCCTCCCCCCAGCCACCTCGCCCGGACGCCGCGGCCATACCGTATTCAAACGCGCAGGGCCAGCTAGCGCGGGGAGGGGCTTTGAAAAACTGCGGAATCATCCGCCCTGACGGCGACAGTCTAGCAGGCCGCCGAGTCACGCGCGCCGCCTCCCGCCCCGTCGCATCAGTTTACGTAGATTCGAAAAAGTTGTGCGGTTTATATACGCAGTCAGATGAGCTCTGCGAGGGGCGGGG